GAGAGAGAGATTTGATAGTGCCAAAGCTATTCCAGCCATTCAAAAACACCATTGTTTTATTCCAATACCAGGAGACCAATTGTTAATTAACCGATATTCGGCTTCGGCTAACGAGGTTTAGTTTTTACGGCCCGGGTTTTCCCAAAGCAAAAACAAATAACATCAAAACGAAAAACCCGCCAAAGAGAGTAATCGTGATGTAAATAATTCATCAGTGCATGTTGGAACTTGTCGTCGAAGAGAGTGGAGAATTTCTCCGTATTGTAAAAATGTAAAAATGTAAAAATATAAAATGTTGTCGTTATAGAAGAATAAAAATTGTTTTTTTCCCATACTTTTTCGTTAGTGGAAAGCACAGTGTATTGTTGAGAAAAGATTTATAGTCGTATCAATAGTCTATTCTATTCAACAGAACAGAAAATGTCTATTGACAAACCCCTTTTTCAGTAACAATAATGCAACTCTCCTAAACGACTGACAAACGTAAAATTTCGAAGAAAATTTTTTTTCGGAGCATTCTTTCTCTCTTACATGATGGCGTACTCTTTTGCCATCATATATGAACAAAGAATAATAGTTGACAGACTGATTTCTTTGAAAAAAACCGATGGATCTCCCCTAAAAATTGAAAAACCCAAAAATTTCGAAAAAAAAAAATTTTCCGGTGCATTGCTTCGCTCTTCCATTATGGTGTATTTTTTCATATCATATAAGGACATCCTCTATCATAAAAAAAATATTTCGATCGAATATCGAGCGGCCCTAGAGTGAAAAAAAAAAATGAAAACGCGAAAAATTCTCGAAAAACCGGTCTAGGAGCTTCTTGACGGCTCTGAAGTATTTTTTATCTTGAAGTACGAGAAAAAACGAAAAATTTTTTTTTATTCATTAAAATCGGATGCTCAATTCAGAAGCAATGATTTTTTGAAAATTTCATGTTTCGTAATGATTATCTCAGAAACAAAAAGTGGCAGGGCAATGAAATTTTTCATGATCACTGGCTATATGTAGTAGTTCAAAATGCACCTACTCAATGATTTTTCCCAGACAAAAAAAAATCCGGTGTGGCTGAGTTGACATGGAATGTCTCACATGGGATATACCATGTCAACTCAGCCACCCCGGATTTGTTTTTTTCTGGAAAAAATCATTTGATAGTTGCAGCTTGAACTACTATATATAGATAGTATTCGTGCTAAATTTGATTCCCCTATCATTTTTTGTTCCTGAGATAATGATGACAAAACTTGTAATTTTCAAAAATTCATAATTTTTGAACGGCGCATCCGCTTTGAACGAATAAACGAAGAAAATTTTTGTTTTTGTTTGTACTTTGAGAGAAAAATACTTCAGAGTTGTGAATTAGCTTCTTCACTGATTTTTCAAGGAATTTTTAGGTTTCTATTTGTTTTCGTCTCTACGGCCTTCCGACATTCGATCGGAATAATTTTTTTCTGATAGAGGACGTCCATATATAATGTGAAAAAAACACGCCATCATGGAAGAGACGACAATTGTGCCGGAAAATTTTTTTTTTCTGAAATTTCTATTTTTTCGCCTTATAGGGGAGCTGCCTAGTTTTTACCAAGAAATTGATGTTCCAGTCAATACTTTTGGTTAATATATCATAGAAAAGAAATACACTACCATAGAAGAGAGAAACGGTGCGCTGGAGAAAATTTTTTTCTCTGAAATTTGTGCGTTTTTTCAACATTTTTATTAGATTTAACAATAACAATCACTCTAGAATAACTTTTTTCAGTTGTTCGAAGGGTCACGCAATGGGCAATATCAGAAATAATCTTTTCAGCACTATCAAGTAGAAAAAAATTGGAAAAATTGATTGAAAATGACTCTTTCGGCGACAATACACCTATAACATAAGTCCGGAATCCTCAACGTTGTTTCCTCTGAGTTTTCTTCGGGAAAACCTCCTCATTGGCTGAGGCAGAATAGCGTTTTATCACCAATTGATCCCCTAGTCGTGGAATGAAACAATGATTCTTCTGAGTAGTAGGAATTCCTTTAGCTTTATCGAATCTATGTTTCAATTCTGCTTTAATCTTGTCGTGCTCATCTTTGGTGAAGAAAGAAACGTCAATCCTAGTGAAATGATTCTTAGCCCATTGGAACAGAGCATTTGGTGAGAGCATTGGTTCACCATCAACTATTTGCAGGCTTTTGCGTCTAGCTTCTCTTTTCAAAACTGCTCCGACTCCATCGCATGCCCCTTTACCGTGCGCGGTTGCGTGAAAATGAGCCTCTGCGTCGATGCCGAAATCAGCCTTATGATTCAAGAGATTATCCATTTGGTAACGATTTTTGTAATGCTGAGCAGCGCCGTCTGTTACATAAATCATTTTTCGAACATCACAATTTTTCTTTACATGGTTGATCACAATTTTCTTTAAACAGCAGCAGTATCATGGAGTAGACTGTCTGATAAGATAACTAAACTCTGATGTTGGATATCATCATCTTCACAGTAGTAATACACCACCGGGTGGGCTGTATATTGATCATTATGGTAATGAAAAGAGTGAGTAGCATCTTGAGCAACAAAACAATAATTCTCAATAAAATCACAGTGGACAAGCATTTCTCCTTTATCAAAATTTTCTCTTCGTTGCTTCACAAAAATTCGTTGCTCTAGAGCGATGAAGTGGTGGGGCTTTAGTACTTTCAATCGTTCAGCAAGTACATCAACCAATTCGTTCACCGAAATTATCTGTGTTTGCAAAGTGCACCTGTCAGTACTTTGCCCCACTCGGAACTCGATATTTTCAATCACAGCTTTAGAGAGAAGTCGTTTTAGCTCACATGACAATTGGTCAAGTCCAGGGCAATTTTTACATTCATCCAAATGACAGGCCGGGTCGGATTCTGCTGAGACAATCTTTGTAATCTGTCATTGGGCATGGTGAATCCTTCGTTAGAAGCCGGAGATTGATAGCATCTAACATCAGTTTTGTTAATTGATGTTCTCGTCCACGAATCCACCCCTTTCTCCACGACCCACACACTGAGCAGCCGAGTAAATCTCGTACCCTCGTAATCCACATTTCTGCGTATGGTTTGTGGTATGCTTCTTGTAGTTATTGGATTTTTGAGGACAATCAGTATTTAGTTTTAAGAAAATACGGTTCCGTTTGCAGTTTGTCGATTCCGCGTTGCTAAAAATCGGATGGCGCCCTAAATACACGAAGTAAGGATTGAATGAGCTGCTGATTGTTCCCGGAGTCCAGTTTTAGCATTATGATTTTGGGCGTTTCAGACTTGTCGGATTACGAGAACGAAGGTAATGAGTTGGCCGTGTTTGGATAATCGAGAATTTTGGGTTAGGGTTAATTGCGTATTTGTTGAGGCCAAAGAAACATCGTTACAAATTCTCTCAACTTTTTTACTTTCTCCGCCATGTATCTCGAAACACCAAATTCGAGCGCTATTTTTCGGGTACTCCATGATCGAGGAAGAATGGTTAGAATTTGCAGGCGCGCACCGTACGAGTCCAAATCGTTAAAATTTTCCTTCAAATCATTCAACATTTCCTCTAATTTCAGTTCTCTCGGAGAACGGTACCGTTTCGTTGGTGGTGGATCATCGTCACTGTGGTCACTATTTGAATCCTCATCCATACTTAAATCGAGAAATCCACGTGAATCATGTGATCTATCGTGACTTGAAACGCTTGTATCATCAAGATGAGAAGATCGGTCTGATCTCAATGAACAGTCAATGATATGCGAGGTGGAATCATCAAATTCTGCTTCAGTCTTTGATACCTCTGCGGAAGAGATATCTTCTTGAAGATTTTGATTCTTCAGAATGCAAGTGGGAGAAAACGATGGTACGACATACGTTGACACTTTTATTCGGCATTTGCAGCAAATTTTTGCAATCGATGGTAGGAAGGGGAACTTCAAGTGTATTTCCCGTGAAATCGGACGTAAATTGGTTCCATAGTGGCCTTTTTCACCTGGACCTTGCATCAGATTTGCACATCTATCATTACGGGGCATGCTAATGAATACAAACAAATTGATTCCACAAATCGCCTGAAAATATCTGTATCATGAATGTCAGAAATTTCTCACTTCAATTCAGAAATGAAGATGAGACAATGGGGATGAGTATACACAATGATGGCTTATCAATTTAGCTTAATGATCAAATTTTACTGATAAATGTTGCATTTAATTAACACAGTCAACAATAAGCACGGTAATGAAACGTTGATGAAGCATTTGAGACATCTCTCACATCTAATAGCTTACAGTCTGATAATGTTAAATCGATCAATAGATTCATTTTTTCATCCTTCTTTTGTTTCAAGTCTGAGTGATACAATCTTCTCATGCCACTGGCTGGAATTTGAGCTTAATTTCTCTAACACGTGAATTCATTGCCTGATCTACTGTTGACTACATTATGATTAGAATTAGAATTAGATTTCCTCACTCTGATGTTACTTTATTTTTATTTTGTATCTATTGTTTCGTGTGGTAGATATATTGCCATTGGAAGAATCATTTTCAATCAATTTTTCCAATTTTTTTCTACTTGATAGTGCCGAAAAGACCATTTCTGATATTTCCCATTGCGTGACCCTTCGAACAATTGAAAAAAGTTATTCCGGAGTGATTGTTATTGTTGAATATTATAAAACTGTTGAAAAAACGCAAAAATTTCAGTAAAAAAAATTTTCTTCGGAGCACCGTTTCTCTCTTCTACGGTAGTGTATTTCTTTTCTATGATATATTAATCAAAAGTATTGATTGGAACATCTATTTCTTGGTAAAAACAAAGCAGCTCCTCTATAAGGCGAAAAACCACGAAAATGAAAAGAAAAAAATTTCGACACAATTGTCGTTTTTTCCATGATGGCGCATTTTTTTTTACATCATATGTGGACGTCTTTTGTCAGAAAAGAATTATTCCGATCGAATATCCGAAGGCCATAGAAACAAAAAAAAATAAAAAAGTACAAATTCCTTTAAAAATCAGCGTAGAAGCGTAGAGATTCCTTGAATCAGCGTAGAGGCTAATTCAAAGCGTGTCTCGAGGGCTGAGGACGTTGGCTCCTGGACGTCATTGATGTGGGCTACCGGCAATGCGATCTCGTGCAGTTTGTCGGTGAGTGTTGCAAGCCTGTCGAGAGCCATGTCCGCTTGTGAAGCCAGGACGGACTGCGTCGTCATCGGCAGTCGGCTGAGCCACTTGGTGCGTAAAATGTTGTCAGGAACCGTGTCGTCGCGACTCCTGAGATGACGCAGGAATTGCGAGGGCTTCCTGTCACCCAATACCTCTCGGTCGAGCAGCTGCTGGAGTCGTACGTCCCGGGAGAGCGTGAGGCGTTCGACGAGCATCTCCTTGAGACGTGTGTACGATGTCTCGACAGGCACATTTAGGAGGATATCCTGCACCTCAGCAGCGGCCTTGGGATCGAGATGAGACGAGGCATAGTAATACCTCGTTACTTCATCGTTAATCACAGATAGATGAAACTGTCCCTCGAGCTGGGCGAACCATAACGCTCGACGTTCGGCATTGAAGGCGGGACATCGTATTGAAACGCGTTGGAGCGGGGCTCCATTGTCAGCTTCGCGCACCTCGACAGTATCTGGCATTTTGTTTCGCGAAAAACAACACTAGAGAAAGTCTGAAAGAATATTCAGTGCAGCACAGCGTCCTTGGGTGCTCAGCAATGCACCGAAATTCACGAAAAGAACTCGAATGGAGCGCGTGAACGATACAACACACGAACGTACGCAGCACACAAACCAATCACAAAGTGCACGATCGAAATGCACTCGCATTTCACGAAACAGTCGCGGCGTTGACGTGATATAATTAATAATCAAAGAAAACGCGAGAAAACTATTCACTTCAATCACGTCGGGGTCACCAGTTGTGGCAGTTTGGTGCAGATATCAAAATAATAACTCGGTGTTGACAAGAACTGTATATTTAAAGGCAAGTGTTTACATGCGTACTCAAAAGTAGACTGAGTTCGTCCGCCGGGGAGCGTACGAGTTTATATACCTTCGTTGCTCGAAGGTTCGAGAATTGTCCTGAAATTTCGTGAGGGACAAGGACAGAATGATGTTTGAAATAAATTCGAGAAATTAATCTATTGTGGCTCGCGCCATATTTTTTGTCTTTGGTTTTTTTTTGTCTTTCGTAATTTCAAATAGTTTATTAATGTTATAAAAAAAATGAAAGTACTAGCGGCTGTTTTTATTACTGATCGATAGCTTTCATTATTTAAATGAAATGGTGTAAATAGAGTAACCAACGAAAAGTCGTTATTAAAATGTACAAACCTTGATAAATAAAATAACAAAGAACAACTTCTCTGAACCAATGAAGTGAATCCCCTCTTCCACCCCTCTCATTAACATTAACGTAGGTTTACCGTATCTCCACTCTGCGACCTGAAGCGCTACTGACGCGCCACAGGTATTACAGAAGGATTTCCCACTATATTATTATTTTTTTATGAATACGTCATCCAAAAACATGAAAACTATTTACACAATTTTATTTAAATAATGAAAGCTATCGATCAGTAAGAAAAATAGTCACTAGTACTTTCATTTTTTTATAACGTCAATAAACTAATTGAAATTACGAGCTCCGCATGTGATTAATCGAAAAAACGCAAAAAACAAAAAATGTAAAACTCATTGAGATTTTTAAAAAAGAATTTTATGAAAAATTGAAAAAAGTAGACCATTTCATCACAAATCGGGAAAAAGGCGTTTTCAAAGGCTTTTTTAATGTTTTTCTTATATGCGCCCCAATCGAAATGCAAAAAACCATCAGAAAAATTTGACCTACGTCTCAATATCTATCGAAAAAAAAAATTAGCCACTAGTACGTTAACAATGGGTTTCTCCTTTTCTAAAGCGTTTTTCGAGGGCTGTTTGCAGCTCAATTTCGCCTCTTAGGATTGTCGTAAAATATCCATTTTTCATCCCCAGTAACAATTTTATGTAAAAAGTCTTTTTGTTTTAATTTGGTCAGTAGGGACATTACAATTTCACAGCGTCAACTTTTGTTTTCTGAGGTGTTATGTCCGAAGGATTTTCAGGCGGGAAATCCTGAGTTAGGAAAATTAAGCTATTGTGCCATCATTTCTCTTAGATAGTATAAGTTCCTTGGTAAACACTAAAAAAAAAGCGGTTTCCCGGATGAGCAATTTTTTTTGTTCGCACTCTTACCTTACTTTCTTCTTCGAATATATGGCCTCAAATTTCGTTATAAATTTCTCTCTCTTTATATTATTTTATTATATGTTATATCATTGTAGAACGGTTTTTGATTCAGTTGACTGAATGAAGTATTAAGAAGAAATAATTTGATTTATAAAAAACAAGTGCTTTAAAAAGACAATAATAACTGATGAATAAATAATCGAATCCATAAATAAATGTAACAAACAAAACTGTGATAAAAATCTAAATTAAAATATTAATTGTAAAACGGCGGACTATTGTAGAACATAAGTTATCGTATGAAATGTAAACAAATGAAACTCTATTATCAAATTTTTCTGCTGTATTGGAAGTCCGCCTGTTGCGTATATATAAATATTTTGTATACTTTTGAATTGTCCTTAGGGGATTTTTGATCCCAGGACTTAATAAAAAAGCTTTTCTCTCTCTCTCGCTCTCTCTCTCTCTCTCTCTGTCTCTCTCTCTCTCTCTCTCTCTCTCTGTCTCTCTCTCTGTCTCTCTCTCTCTA